TTCATTGTCTACCGTGATAACATATCTTCATTTATTTTAATTTCGTGTCACGTGTAAAAAAAGTCAGCGGTCATTTGTGATGGATCACCGCAACATTGAGAAAATGAAAGCACAAGAGAGTCAATATGTTCGAGTAATATGTCCTTTATCACGATACAGATTGAGCCAGGTTAAACTTACAATGGGAATAAATTAAGATAGATCGTAAACATAACGTTGATTTGACGGCGCAGAAAATTCGATTTAACGCCGGTCAACTATGGCCACGCTTTGTGCATTACTATCGTCGTCGTAACCGGAGGTTTAATTACGATCCCGAAAATTTAATGTAATTTGACACTGCGTAAAACGTTATTTTCCACCGTGTAGTTCCCCTTCATTCGATGATCGTTACGCCGTCAAGGGTCCTACTGTAATTTAATGAATTAAACGCGATGTTAAGCGCTATAAATTCATTGTCACGTTACCTTCAGCCTGGATACCGTCCGCAAATAATTCGATTAACGATTAATTTGAATCATTGTTATATCGCTACTTTACTAACATCCAAAAATGTATACATGCACGCATTTCAGTTAAGAAGATATTGGCGAGAAATTTTCAATGCTCCATTTCTATAAAATGATACTAATTTGGCAAGTTATATAATATCGCATTTGTATATAAATTTCAATAATTCCGAAACATAGATAATAATTTAAAAAAAAGTGATTCTATATATATTACATAATGTTAAGAGAATAAAATAAAATAATAAAAAGTAATATAAGCTGTGGGAGTCAACGCAGTTAATAATGCGATTATCTTATATTTATTTAGTTTATTCTATAAACCTTGATTTGGAGAATTTGAACTCTTCTTTGAAAAATAATTAATCCTGAAGATGACTCAGAGAGAAGTCGAAACGTTAACATTCTATTATATCATGGTTGCGCTTATCGAAATTACATCAAGGTTTATGGAATAAACTAAATAAATATAAGATAATCGCACTATTAACTGTGTTGACTCCCATAGCCTTTATTACTTTTTATTATTTTAATTTGTAGAGTCTTTACTTTCATTATAATCATAAAATCTTCATTTAAATTTAAAATAAAATAATTTATCTTTTATTGTGGAAGATAAATTAATTTATGTTAAATAAAAATTTTTTATAAAAATTTCTACCAGGACACCGCAACGTTGATCGGAGTCGACAATATCTGAAAGCGTGACATCAGCGACGCATCGTTAAATTATAGGGGATAGAGAAAGTCGGATAGATGTCAGGTGATTAATTAAATTAAGCCAGATAGCAATAATTCTTGCTCGTCCACCATTGCAGATGCTACTGTATTGGGGAAACGAATGCGATGGTACTGTAGCTTTATGTGTACTGTGTTTACGGTTTGTGGTTCACAGAGAATTTCGCGTGAAAGCGAACGAGAAAGAAAGGGGAAAAATAATATTTAAGCACGATCGTCTGGGATGTATTCAAATGTGGCTCATACGAGCATCAAAACACTGAAATGTTAAAAAAAAAGCACGTAAAAGAGAAAATGGAAAAAATATAAAGCCAATAGGAATGACAGAAAAAAAAATCAATCCGAGAGATATAATAACCGAAAGATTTTAATTCATTTAGAGATTTGAATTTTCACTATTTCTTATAGAATAGAAAGGCGTTAATTAGTATTTTAATGTGTTGCAGACGGCAAAATATTTAGCGTCGGCAGCATAGTTGCCGAGCAGATCGCAGAGGGACGTTGTTCTCGCAATGGGATCCACGACCTCGTGTATGTACAGTCGTCCGTATGTACAGAAGCGTGCAACGCAAACTAATTTCATTTACTGTCCCGCCGTGTCTCACCGGCACCTAACTTTACTGTCAGGACAGGCCCACGGAAGCGTCGGTTTCGACCAAGAACACCGGTCCCCCGAACACTGAAACCTTTCTCGTCGACACGTTGCCATCCTAACTCTCGCGGCTGCTATCATCAAACCACCGTGTACTCCGTATGAGCACTCTACCGGCACGTATTTTCGGGTCCTTCGGGGATGTTCTTGTATCCTGGCCCGAGAAATCACGAGCAAAAAGATGCATTGAAAGCGATAACGCATCTGCACATCAGTGATGTCAGATATACGAATATAAATTTCCCGGGAAGTTTCTGTGAAATTCTCATAAAAAGCGCAAATGTTCAATATTAGTATGCATTTTTCTAGAGAGAAGCTTATGAAAGAGAGTTTATTTTAAAATATTTGAAATATAATTTTTATATATGCATATAAAAGAAAAAAGGGGTTTTATGGTTCCTTTTATGATCCTTTTAAACCGGCAATTTAAATATATAAAATAAAAAAAAATAACTTTTTTTCACACTTTTTTTAATAATAAATCCTGATACAGCTCGTATCTTTCTCTAATCTTTCATTGTTATAAAAGAGAATTACAAAATTCGATTGTTTAACAGTAACGTAAACAAGTTGTCAAAACCATGTAAGTACATTATTATAAATTCACATCTCTCGTGAATCGTCAAATTTTCATTTCATTTCGTTTTTTGGGATTGCAGCTGTGAGCATATATTCAACATGATAAATTGCATCATTTATCATACTTAACAAAGTGACGCTGGACGAGACAAGAAAAACGCGAATATGCGACAATGTATAAATGGGGTGAAATTTTGCGAGGTTTTTTCGATTTTTGTGAAATTTTTGGACTCGACTTGAATGAAGCGTGTAAAACGACCGGAACACGTTGCATAATGGAATGTTTTATGTCCCATATCTCACATATTATTGAACGGTGTGAAACGAACTATATATTAACGAAGCTTAATACGACAGCGCGTCGCTCTTGCCTTTTTCTTATTTCCGCCTGAGTTTTATTCAGCGCGACAGTTGAACGAGCCGGCGAATCTCCCTTCTATTATACGGATCGCGGATAATGAATTCTTACGCTCCAGAATCGGTTCTTTGAAATTATACTGTTCCAGCCGAGTTGCAGAGAATCTATAATAATATATAATCCCAAAGAGAGACGAGGAGGAAGAGTGAGCCGTATTTTTTAACGTTCCGATGGAACGTACCTACAAAGAGTGAGAATTATGTACATGCGCGATCTAGATTTGACTTTTCCCGGTCGTTTCTACAGGAAGTTGACACAGTCTTTCAACCGCGCGTAAATGCCCGTCAAACAAGGAAAAGTTTCGTGAATTAATTACACTTTGCTCGCATAACCGCGTCAAGTTTGTCTGACATTTAGATTATGCATTTCTCATATTTGTCGAGAAGCATTCCAAGCGAGAATGACTTCGCGCGAGCAAATTTTGAATAATAGAGCTATTAAGCTTAAAGACCTCTTCGCACCTATGCAATTCTGGCTTAGCGTATAGTTGTATCGTACATATTATTACAATTTAAAATTATATATCCGTGCTCGCTTTAGATTCACTAAAAAACAAATCTAGTAGTCTTCGATCATATACACACTGTACGCAAGTAATAATTACTTGTCTCAAGTACAATATTTCAAAAGTTCATATATCCACAAATCTGTTGTAAATTCATCACAAGTATCAAATTTATTCAGAATGTATTCTAAATCTTATTATTAGTAAGTTTAGTATTTCAATGAAGATTGTTAAATTAAAACAAATTCGATTTGCTTATTAGGTACAAAGTGGCTTCTTTGATCAATTTTATAATATTCAAAAGAAAATAAATTCTTCTTTTAAGTACATAACAATAAATTTTTCTAAAATTTGTAATAAGTATATTTTAAGATTAATTCTCAAGAAAATATTCTTTGTTAAAGTAACCGTTACTTAAGAGGAAGAAAGTAACTTTTGAATATTTTTCTGTGTGTACATATGGACTGCTAATGTCAATTTCATATCTAATCTGATGAGTTGCGTCATCATTATTTAAATAAATAAATCAATTAGAATAATATTACGTTCCGTGCCTCGTGCGTTGCTAATGATCACGTTGAACTTTTCGTTCAGATCGTTTGATATTTTGACATAAAAAGAAAATTAAAAAATAATTCATTGTATATTATACTTGGATACAATTATGATATATGATGTTTAGTACATTAGGCCTTTTCCTTTATAATAATTTTTATAATTTTTTAATTCTGAAATAGTTATTATTTAACAAATATAAATACAAACAAAATATCATGAGTTACTTACCGGTTACTCACGTCGCGTGATTTGATTAAATCACTTAAAAAATGCTGGAACGTAATATATATAAAGAAGTATTTAAAAATATCTAAAACATCAAAAATATGCATCATAACATTTTACTAAATGATGATTTGAATTCATATAGCCTAACTGTTAAGTTGAAAACAAATGTAGTTTCAGTCTTATTTTCATATTTTAGGTAACATAAATGGCGATTCATTTCATTTCAAAGCGTTGTATACATTTGTCAAAAAGTGGGAGGTACTACGAGGTCCATGTATGATCGAAGCTAATAATAACAGTCATTAAATATATTTTGTTTAACATATGCATACAGTGTTTAATAAATATTACCAAATGTAATAATAGTATCCAACTGTTTGGTAATAATTAGAAGAGTAAGATAATGTTTAGAAAAGTAAAATGATCGTTATTAATTGGTTCAGTAAATGGTCTGTATTAATTGAACATTTTATTGAGATTACATTTCAAAGCCTCATTAACTATCATATAGGCTTGATTATTATTAGACTTTTTTCAGTGTTTTTACGTTTAATCTTATAACATATATATTATAACATAGTGATACACTATTTTAATACATTTATCGATATTTTGTGTGTGTGTGTTTGTATAAAATGTATATTATATTATAGCGCCACAATACAGCTTTAATGTATTAGATAAAAGACGGATGAAGGATGATAGCAGCTTAAAAATATAAAAGCTGGCTAAAGGACAGATTAAATAAGACTGCCTTCATTTCTCTTGGCTAAGCGGCAAGAAAAGAATACAATATTTAAAGATTCGGATTACCTGATACCGCCTCTCGTCGTATCGTAGTTTAACACTCTATTGCCGTGGAGCCACTGGACGACGCTGTACTGCACCTGCATCGCTATATGACGTACGACGCACAATAATTCGATGGTGCTATCAGCTTCATAGTATTTATCCCGCAGTGGTTCGCCTAGGGCGTCCACTATTTGGACGGACGGCGCTGAAAAATTCAGAAAGTAAAATTTATTAGGTATTATTCTTCTTGATCAATGATCGTGTAAAGACTCGAATGGGTAATTCTTATTTAATAACATCTTCTATCATCCAGAAAGAAAGTGAAACTAATGTACTTTCCAAAAGTACATTAATAACTTTTCGCATCCGACAAACATTCGATTACGCCCGACGCGAAGTCATAATTCTGGTCAATGAGAAAAAGATTGGGAATGTCGCAGCCAATTCAGAGCTTTCCAAGCACATCATCGACTTAAAGTTTCTATCCTCTTACAAGAAGTTTTCGAGTCCCTATATTTAAAGTAGAGGTACTTATAATGCTTAGTTTAAATATCGAAGTATTCACAGCTCGTACAAAGTTTTGTACATGATATATTACGCGGAGCATACTGCTACACTTTTGTTGAAAAGTTCTCTTTCATTTGAAACATAATATTTCGATTCATTAACTTCTGATATCCGATTTTTTTCCTGATTTATCGATACTTTCTACATTATCTCTTATTTCGCTCAGACTCATATAATCTACTCTGTTATTTATGTATATGTATATATATATATATACATATATATATTTTTGCAATTTCTCGGACTTCTATTATTATTTAGCATTGAAAAATCAACAAGTGAAGGTAACCGGAAATTCGAAATTGGAGTATATAAAGGTCTGTTTTCTATAACCGAACAGTATATATTTTTGGAATTTAAAGTGAAAAGGATACGTTTGATATTTGGCAGAAGAAAGAAAATTTGGCGAGAGAAAGAAAATTCTAATGCAATCTAGTACAGAAATAAAAACCTTAATACACTTTTTATTTATCACGGCATATTTTTGTTCGCTATCGCAAACGGTAATTCCGTACAGCGGTCTTACAGCGGTCACTTGAAAGATCCTTATTCTAACGCAATCAGCACTATTTGTCGAGTTTGTCGAGTTCACCGTGGCAATTTCCGCGTCATGAAATTTGACCGTACACATGAGCGTGATATTGGATTACATTGAATTCGGCTTCAAATATTTAACTTTATGGCCCAATAAATATCTCTCATATTGACGTCATTGGGTTGTCCATACGATTAAGTATCAAACCAATGGAGCAAACCGATTCATTCGCGTATCTCCGTCATCGTCTTCATAGACTATATCATGGCTATAAAAAACTGAGCAATGGAGGGCTACCGAAAGAAATCACGAAAAAGAGAAACGTTTTGGAGATAGATCAAAATGTTCTCTCGCGCCGACCTGGTACTCGACCTCATGAATACCGCGCGAAATATAATCTCTCCTACGCTCTCCCTTTTTTCTTTCGCCCAGCTTTCTCTTTTTACGTTCCCCATCTGAGATATGCCGCATTTTATTTTGCACACTTTTTTGCAACACTATACAAAATTTTCCTCATTCCACCATCGTGTCTGAAAATATATTATATTTTTTGCTTGTTTCTCTTTTCTTCTCTCTTTATTCAATAATTTTACGTTGCAAATTTCGAGATATCATATGTTTTCGCAATTAATACAAATAATAGAATTCAAGCAGATATTAGTAGGTTTTTTAAATACTTTGTACGAATATTTATTTGTATATAACATTATAGAGATACATATTATTAACATTATAATGATGAGTTTAATCTCAAATTAGGTGAATAAAATTTATATAAACAAATAAGAATTATTTTCAATAAAACGCTAGAATTTTTTTGTATATTTCATTGCGAAAAATGTACGAAGGATAGAACTTTAGCAAAGAACAAAGAGCTTTCTCGCTGTTACATTTGAATTTAAAACACATTCATTCTATTCTTGAATGTTTCAAGAGTCGAAAAGCAGATTAGAGATTGTATCGCATTCGTAAAACTTATACGCTCTTTTGTTAACATCGTAACATCTTCTTTTATTAATATCGCACAAAGAGTACGCGTCGACTAAATTGTAAAGAGGTGGAGACAGAGAAAGAGAGATCGACGGTAGGCGTATAGAAGAGACGGACGATGAATAAAGGTCGAGAGAGTAGTACTGCATACCAAAATCTTGGTTACTTTATCTTGCGGAATCTCAGCTCTCTCACGGATTAAGTGTTGATCCTTCTTTTTACGTGCACCCGTAAGCATGGGCACAGCGACGATTCTAGCGTTCCTCAAATATGGTATAGTGACAATGATTGCATTCAGCAGAGGAAGTATCTTTGCAACTGTTATAAAATTCTTTCATATAATTGGTTTACATTTAGATTCAGGAACTAAGAGCGAGATCAAGTACATTAAAGAGTTTTACAACAGTTGCAAAGGTGCTTTCTCTGTTGAACGCAGTTATTAGCTGCGTTCAGTTGATAAAGAAGATCAATAAGCATTCAGAAATTTTTTAATAAGTATGATTTCTTGTCATTAATATTTCGCTAGATCTAAGTATAGAAATCAATCATAATAAAGAATCATTGAGGATTCATTGAGTGAGCTGCTTGTCTGCTGAATGCAGTTATTGTCTACAAAATGAAAACGTTTGTTAAAAAATTTAGATTACTTAGATAGATTTGAAAAAATAATTTTATTGAACTATTAGAATAATAAAAATCTCAAATACAATGAGCAATGCTAAAAAAAATTTTTAATCTTCTATTAAGGTTAAATTTTTTTTATGAAAAAAATTTCTAGTTGAAAATGGATCGTCACAGAATTTTCTGGTTAAATTTATTAGAATTCTAATTAAGATAACCGAAATTTTAGTTGATACAATATTTCTGATAAAATATTAGAATTCTATTAGAATTCTTATTTTTACTAGAATAATTATAACAATCAGAATTCTAGTTATCTCAATTAGAATTCTACTAAAATTTAATCAAAAAATTCTGATTCGTCCATTTTCCACCTAGAATTACTATTTAATTCAACCAAATCATTTTTCTCAGTGTGACTATAAAAAAATTACGCCACTTTGTGACTATAAAAAATTAAATAAATTAATAAAATATCGATATATTAGTATGTAACTTGAAAGTTATACAGACCCATAGAGGATTAATTTTGGCCAGTATGAGCATTCTGTGTAATTATTTTAATAGTTCATCAATAAAATTATTTCAAATTCGTATCTAGTTAAATTTTTAGATATTTCAACGAAACTTTTTCGTGCAAAATTGTGTGAGTTTACTCGTTTTATATATTATATCTTTCTTTGTGTGGCGATTTGTGTGGTGATCATACGTTACTGATTATATCTTGGACACGACAAAATCATTTTCACGTTAAATTATTATACTGATAATAGTACTTTTCGGCATTTACATATTATACCATATAAATTATAAATAATTATGAACTTATAATAAATAATTATAAACTAAACTCTAGAGATTAATTAATTTGCGATTGTTATATGTATATATTTATTACGCAAACATAAATCCATTCTGTTAAAAAAATAGCATTGATAATTGATTGGAACGTGCGACAATAGTCAGGCAGGATGTATTCATATCTCCTGCGTTAATTATCGTACGGCGCGATCCATCGATAAAACGCGATTGCAAGATTCGCACAATGGACAATTGTGTTTACCGTAATTTGACTTTCAAAGTTGAACAGATATAGAAAGAGAATAGGTTGCTGGGGACAATGAGAATGCGCAATTCGACGATATATCGTTCTTTCAATGGCATTTGACGTTTCGGACCGCGTTACAAACGACCTCATGAAAGCTCACGCACAAAGGTATCAACAGTGTGAAACGATTAAATTTTAATTGTACGAATATCGAGTGAAATCTCGATAACAGGAAGCGCGAAATAAACGGCTAACATCTCCGTGCCACCATCGAGATGTAAATATAAAATAATTATTCGCAAAAGATTATTTATAAAGTAGGGATATTTCAAGGCAATCGATGATCGTTGCGCACACGACAGAAATTATTTCGACAAATTACGAAAATGGAGAAATTCTACGAGGATAAGTGCGAGGGACTTTAAGTAGATAATCCCTTTGAACTCGCGTTAGGAGATTCTCGGCGATAACATGAAGAAGTTACGTCGTTTTATCTCGTAGAAGCGAAAGCTTACAATATAATCTCACATCAGCAAAGGCGCGCGAACCAGGAAATAAGTAAAAGAAAAAAACTCTTGCTCTTTTTATTGTAATCCCGCAATTCTATATGATTTAACGAAAGCTAAGTCAAATACGATATCGCGTCTTTATACTTATTAAGATTTACTATAATTTTTTTATCTCTTTATGCACATTACTGCAGCTTCAATTTTGAGATATATTTTATATATATTCGTACAATAAGAATAAAGATGAGTGGATGAGATATTTATTAAAAAAGTCGCGAAATCGTAGCTCAAAGAAATACAAAATATTTCGCTTTATTAATAATTCAATGTACGCGATGTTAAAATAAACAATTAGTGTGATTATTTTAAAACATCTCTCGTATATAGGAAGAATGGTTTTGTTAAAATATTTGAAAATATACAGCTAAATAGAAATTAAAAAAATAATTGTTTAGATTGCATCAAAATAATTATGTAGGACGCTCAAATTAGTAATTAGAATATCAAATCTTTTTGAACTGAATATCAAAAACTTTTCTACATAATTATTTTAATGATTTAATAAGACTATTTGTAACTCTATCAAGTTTAAATTTTAATTTCGGCGAAATCGTTCTTTTCACGTATGAAAGATATTTTTAATATTAATTTTGATCATATTAATTATTTACTTTGACATCGCATATATTGTACAAATTTGTGTGGAATATTTTTGTATTTCCTCGAGCTATTGATTTCGCTTTTTAATAAATATATCCATTCATCTAACTTTACTTTTATTTCATGATGCTGGCTGTGTACTTTTACAGTGCGCCTTTATTGTTTATCATTAACCTCTTTAAAGTTATGCAATTTCTCTCTTCACGTTTATTAAAATCTTCCTGCAGTTTGCAATTTTCCATTGTCCATTCCTCGCTCTAGGTCTACATAGCTGCCACTTCACTTTTACGTACCATCATTTCGCCGAATTAGTCGACACACCTCGATTACCGGACTACAACGAGATGAAGTTCTTCCGCTTTGCACCGCGCCATCTTTCCGAACCGAACAGACCGTGGATTTTCTCTTTCTTGTCCCCGTCTATCTCAACTACAAGGTACTTCGTTTTCAATTATCCTTTTAAGCGATCTCCGCCGCAAGAACATTGCAGACGGAGGCAATTTGTCCGATCGCTAGTAGAATTGTGGAATTTGAGTTTCTCTTCTTCTTTACTTTCTGTCGTTAGAATATTGAATCGTAGGTAGGTATTACCAGAGATATAGCGTCTCTTTCTTCTTTGCTCTCTTGCTAATTTAAATGAGCACGAAAGTGGCACTGAAAAAAGGAACGGCTCAAGAAAAAGGTTTTTCCTACCTTAATTAGTCTATATTGTTTCAATTCTCGCATTTAGCATTATCTATTTTTAATTGTTAACGCTTATATGCGTATAAAAACTTTATTCTATTTTGTTTTAAAATACTTTTTAATAATTTTGTTTTAAAAATATACAATCTATATTTCATCAAGCCTTTGGTTCGCAAGACGAAGTAAAACTTGCGTTAAAATTATTCCACTTTAAAATCTCTTTTATATTCTTCCTCTGTTCGTTATCACGCTACATTAAATTCGTCTCAGACACAGACGGGCGAAACAAAAAGGTGTTAAATAGAAAAAAAGAGACATGTGAATTTGAGAGAGAGCAAATATTAGAGAAGTTTTCGTTCTTTGCTCCGCTTCTTTTAAGAAGATAAAACAATTGCGTCAAATTGCTCAAAAAGAGTTCACTCAGAAAAGTCTATAAATGGTATTTTATAAGGAATTTAAATCGTGGCGTGAACGGAAAGAGCGTAAATTTACTCAAATTTTTTTAATTTACTCACAGTGTGAATCAGAAGCGTGCGGAAATCTTCCTTTCGCGAAGCTACGATTTGATGAAGCATAATTGTCATCATTATCAACATTGTTGTCTCGAAATTGATGGTAGACAGAAGATCGTTAGCACACGTTATCACTTACCGTTAATGTGTAGGTTGACATAAATGAACTTTGGTGGATGGGTGCTGATTTGACACTCGTATTGGCCCTCGTCGCTGCTGTTAACACGCTTGATACGCAGACGCCAGTTGTCCGGGTACTGAAATTCGATGGTATATCTCGAATCGCCCGTATATGTCTGCTGACCCACCGTCAGCAATCTCATCTTCTCACTACTCTCCTGTCGCCGCAGCCAGGATACCTGCATATAAATACAAAACGATCCTTCTGAAGAATGTGGTTTCATTTCAAACTAAAAAAATTGTTCTCATTATCTTTTGCTCGTTTACATGTACAATAATAATTTTAATAATTGTTGCGCATATCCTTCTGCGCTGACTTCCATTAGCCTTGAAATTTATTGTTTATTTTTATTTTAAAGATTGAGAATCCGATTCTATATATAAATATTTATATTTATATAAGTAACATCACAAAAAAATTGTCTCAAATAATAACCAAACGGAAAATTTATAAGAAATTTCTAATTAAAGTAGATATTTCTTATAAAGTTTCGGCCACAAAAAAAATGCTACGAGTCAAATTGATCTATTACGTTTGCTTTTAAAATTATTTTGAATTTTACGATAAAAAATCAGCAATTTACAGGAAAAGAGTGGCTACTTTCAGCAAAGAGAACTGATCAGTGAGAGCTCAGTGATTCTTTAATGTGAGAGATTGGTTTTCTTATATATTCCGCGAAAAACTAAAGGTAAGAACCAATCATATTAAAGAATCACTGAGCACTCACTGATTAGTTTTCTCTGCTGAACACAGTCAATATATAATATATGCAGTTTGTAGTCATAATATAATGTGAAAAATAAAATATTCGATTGATTTACCTTTCTCTGCAACTAAGGAATGATTTAAAATTTCGACATCTTTTATATTTGTTTTATTACCCATTTTAGAATTTTTTATTTTTTATTTTTAATAAAATTATAATAATTTATTATATATTTCATTTGTGATACAATTTTTAATAAAGAAGATTTTATTACAAAAAGAATGAACTTATAATATTGAAATCCGACTATTCATTCTTATACTAATTTTGTCTAATGTTGTATAAAAAAGTTTCTATTTTTCTGTATTTTTTTAAACTGTTATTTGAGATAATTTTTTATTTTTTGCTAATAAGGAATCAATATATAAAATTTTAACATACATCTATTTTTATTCCTTTATTTAATTTATTATTACTCATTTCTTTTATAATAGCCAACGATTTTTCATTCTAAAAATTCAAAAGTAACTATATATATATATAAAACTTGACGTGTACTGGAGTAATTTGGCATTGTTTTTGTGACCAAAAATTTATTAAAAAAACACCTACTCTGGTTAGAGTTATTTAATACAAATATTTGTTGTGATCCTGTATAACAATTATACAAATATGATTCAACAGTATCTGTACCCACCAAAGATGTAGATATTTTTTTGGACCAAATGTCTATACCAGTCAACACCAAGTACTGCACGTAAAAATATCAACAGGTGTATAGACAATCGTTCATACGGATTTTTCCGGTTGTATCGACAATTCTCATGTGTACGCGTTTTATATGCAAGCATGTTTGCATCGTTCTGCTATCTTTTCTGTAAAAATATTCGATTCTTCTGACGTATGTTTTATTTTCACATTTTATTTTTTGATTAATATTTCTATTGCAATACGGCGATAATCGAAAAACTTAATAGAAATGTATTAATTATGCTGGAAATAAGCTAACATTATTTTGATTTTTCCCACAGAAATATTTTTATCAGATAGATATTCGCTTGATAACCATGTACAGCAAATATTTTTCCAATAAATAAAATATTTTCTTCCACATTGTTTCTTTTCTATACTTTAAAAAACAGCGCTTGATTTGTGACTAAATTGGATTTCATTGCATCTCACAATAAATAAATTTATATTAAATAATGATTATAATCGAGATTTATTACAAGTTTATGTCAAGATTAGAGATAGCAAATATGAAATACATAGAGGAGTTTATCCGTGTAACTGACGTTGAGTAACATGTTACTGAATAGCCCTATTATAGATGTATACATGTAATATCTTCTATATAAATCTACGGGAGCTAATTAGGTATTATCGGTTATAGAGATTTAGTTTATGGTTTGATAACATATACATATATATGAAGATACAAGTTATCATCAGTTTTTAATTTCCGTTTTTCTCGAGAGTGTATCAAATTTATTTTATCTATAAATATAAAAAAGATAATTTAAGCTCGATTTTTTCATTATCTAGTTAACTTATGGTTTAACCTGATATTTTATCTATTAGGCTTCTATAATGTTATGACTAAAGCCCAAATCTCATCCATAAGCGATATATGCATCTAGTAAAACGTTTAGTATTAGATTTATATAATGTTGCTTATCAGGATATTACAGAAATTAGAAATATTAAGAATTTCGTCGCAAAAAATTATCTTGCTCAAGTAAGGCTTTTAAATCTTAATAGCCGAATTTTTTAGATCTTATGCTGTTAATGAAATAAAAAGTAATTTATTTATTAGAAATGTTTTTATAAAGTTTGATAAACATTTTTGAAGTTTATATATGTACATAAACAGATATTTAATTTCAATTTAATTTGCGAGTCGGTATTGGTTAACTATAAGCTATATTATAAATTGCTGCTACGAAATAGGATATTATCTATTCGAGCGCCAGAGAGATTCATGCGCGCACAACCGATATCTGACCGCATAATTTGTTCTATAGTTTTGGGCGTGGATAATGCAGAAACGCTGCTGTAACTGCATTAAAGCAATACACGCAAACCAAATGAACATGATAGTACTTGGCAATAAAGTCACTTGTAGCTTTGCATACTCATAAGGTGGTTTTGCAGCAGATTAAATGTCATTATACTGTTTTTGTATATCATAAATTTTTTTTATATCATAAAAATAAAAATAAAAATATTATTATTCAATTAAAAAAAATACGCACCATTATCTTTAAAATTCTTACGTTTAACATAAGATTTTTGTAAGTAATTATAAAATGTCAAGAAAAATTTATATAAATAAAGTTTTACGAACACGAATTTACTACTAAATTATTATGTGCAGATTACGCGTGCGAAAACTGGGTCACCAGCGGCGATTACGTGAATTTCTTCTTAAATTTGTTCCTTGAAATATAAAATGTACAAACGCGCCAGCGTAGCAGATTAATCATAATAAGCTAAACGTAGCTTACCTGAGGTGTAATAAGGCAAAATATTCTGAGATTAGTTATGAATTATTGCACTGTGCATTTGCAGCAGTGATTAAAAGCTGTGGGCAACCAGATATGAAGCACGAAGGGAAGGAGCGAACAGTATGACTGAGTGTGCGTTTTCACACTTACGGTTTTGTCCTGCAGCAACGATATTCTGCAATCGAGCGTAACACTAGCACCCGCTTGTACAGTAATGTTGGAGCTCTCGCCTTCGAAGTGAGGGCCCCATTTGTGATCGTGATGATGCTGATGCTTGTTCAAAGTGCTATGCGTATCAAAGATGTAGTTCAGCATTGGTGCATCCGTCGGCACAGATCGCTTTGCCGCCGTCGTCGATTTCGTCGAAATCGAGTCCGTCGCCAGAGGCAGTTCTGTAATTTGCAAAGGGAAAGTTCATGTCGTTAATAAAAAAAAAGGATTGGAAACGTTACTTTAAAGATAACGCGTTATTATAAGTATTACTTTTTATAAAAAGTAATTCGTTATTATTACATGTTACCAGTTTTAAGAAATAATGTTTTACCGTTATCGTTAGAATGTAACAATTTAGTTACTTTTCTCATTACTTCTTTGTAATGCAAAAGTAAAATATTCGATTTTAAAATTACATTATTTAATATTAAATATAATATAATTAATACTAAAAATTAAATTCTAAAGCTTCTAAAGTATTTTATATATAAACTTCTAAAGAAATTCTAAATTATTAGGTGTTGGAATTAATTCGTAGCGTTTTACAAAGTATTTATGTTTTAAAAGTACTTTCATTAATGTATTTTTTAATGCTCATGTGAAATAAATAACATTCTTTCATTAAAAACGCTACGAATTAATTCCAACACCTAATATAATCTTTGTATAGCAAGTTTTTTCTTCTTTTAAAACCTTCTAATAAATATTCCAATTTTTTATATTAATATTTTTGTATTTTAATAGACTTATTTTTAGGAATTTTGATTGTAATTCTCTCTCTCTCTCTCTCTCTCTCTCTCTCTCTCTCTTTCTCATAAACAAAAAATTTTATAAAAAATTTTTATTAAATATTGATTTTAACATTGTTATTAAGAGTGCATTCTAATACTCACTGCTAGTACTAAAATCTATAGTTCACGTTACATATATAATATAGACTTTCAGTATTGGCAGCGACTATGAAAATACTCGAGATGCAAAAATGTAAAGTACTAAATATTTTTCCATATTAAAAAAATTATATTTAAATAAAATATTTCTATCTAATCTAATCTAATAAAAATAATGCGATGTATTGAATACATCTAAAGATAATTGGGAATTAAAGTAACGATAAAAGAAACGACTGAATTCGTTATTGTAAAAATATTACGTTATTATTACTGTCACAGAAAAAAATAATAATTGTTATGAAAAAAGTAACAATAACGATAACAACGCAAGTAATTCTTAACCCTAATAAAGAATGCTTTAAAATGCTGTTTAACAAAAAATAGAAATTTGGAGATTTTCATGTTACAATATTTTTAAACATGGAGCGTATCATTATGTTTAAATAATTTTCGTTGTTGTTGTATTAATATGAGAGCATAAATTAACGAAGATCTGTATTTCATATTATAATAAATACGAGGCAAGTGTGTGGCACGTATTATATCATTTAACATTTCGAGCAGCAGCGCATACATTAAATGTACACATCGTGTCATCATTCGAATTGTCATGATTGTTTACGGCATCATGCGCCACATTTACATGTATTTTCATATTATGTACACTCTGGTGAGTTTCTCCTTTTCTACTTTTTGCATTCAACCCGTCGCACCCGATCGTAACTCGTGACTTTATTTAATCGATTCGCTGGCATTCTCCTGTTATGGGCCATCGCTCAGGTTATCGACATTCAGCCAACCTGCCAATAACGGCCAATATTCGACGTAAATATGCATTTACGCCCGCAACAGGCGCAGTCGAGACACACAACATCCTCGTGCTGATATTACCGCTACTTACAGCGATCGTACGTTCCGAACTTTTTGGTATGTTTCTAAATAGAGAGTACGTTTTTCTTTATTCCGATTTATTGAGAATATCATACATTTCGTGTAGAGAGAGAAATAATATCAGAGACAAAATACGAAATTTATTATATTTTTCGTTAACAGCATTATATCAAAATATATTAGAAAATTTTTAATCTTTCTAGTCATTAAATATTGTATTTGCTTTTTAATTGAAAAGTAAATTAATTCCTTCGTCTTTCTTTATATTGTATTAGGTGTTGGAATTAATTCGTAGCGTTTTACAAGTGATGGGAAGTACTTTCATTAATGTATTTTTTAATGCTCATGTGAAATAAATAACATTCTTTCATTTAAAAACGCTACAAATTAATTCCAACACGTAATAATTTATGCATGGATTAAAACCATTAGTAAATGATTTTAATTTTCATGAGAAACAATTTCTTAAAATTGTAAGTAATTTCTTAGAAACTTCTTTGAAGAACACGCCAATTTTTACACTTCTATTTCTATTACAACATAACGAATACTGATTTAACTTTACAAGCATTCCGTTTATGGTTACCGTTTACAGTTCTTCGCACTTTGTACTCTCTTTTAACTTTGATAATGATAATTTCTATAGCTATTCTTTATACTACCGACGAAGTTCGCGGTACTATCCGACATTGTCGGATGTGTTGAATATCTTCATGGTTATTTCGTCGCAAGTAGAGAGAGAAAAAAAACGGGTGAGAGAATGGAAAAGTCGAGAATGAAAGGGAACGAAGATCTTGAATACGGGGAATACGATGATGAAAGTCACGTTGCTCGTTCGCGACTGAGGATCACCAAGTTAGATATTAACTCGTGATGACAAATTTTTCTGAGTTTATATCGTAGAAGAAGCACCTTCACAATGTTCAGACATGTGATGTTTAGAGCCAAAGAAATAAAATGAGAAGATGTCTTCTACTAAAAAGTTGAGGTGGAAGTTCCACGTAGATTACCTTAGCGGTTATCTCGGATCTCATTGTTCCTCTTCACCCATCTCTCATTGTTCCTTTTTTCACATGTGCACTTTTTTTTGATGATTATTGAAATCTTATTCTTCTTGAATATAGAGATTCGTTATAATTAACGTTGCTCTCTGATGTGCGATTGAAAATTCTATTTAATATATTATTATACACATATTTAATATACTGACAATTATCGAAAACTGTTTAACGCGAAAACAACTGTCGAAAACATTTACTCACGTACTTGCTGTTACAATATATGTCAATCTGAATACATATATTTCAAAAGTTGTTCAAATTTCAGCAACGCTGTAAATACAAGAAACTTACGTGGGGTATATCGAAAAATTTGACATACCGAATACTTCTCTTTCATAAGTCCTGTCACGTAACGCCAACAGAAGTTCCATTTGAGAACACCGCGGACGTAAAGCCGCTGCAGTCGATTGTTCTACGAAGACGAATTGGAGCACTTGTGCAGGTAATCCTGACTTTCATCGAGTCAGCGATAGGTGAGCACGGGAGTTCCCCGGACCTCCAGCAATTCCGGCAATCTTCGAGAGATCCGACACAGAATTCACGGGGTTGCGACAGAGGGAAGAAAGGAATATACGAGCGCACAATCCCACGACGAAGTCGCATGTCAAAAGGGATCAGTATGCCGCGGAGCGCGAAATTTTCTTTTCCGCACGCGACTCTTCGCCGTCATCTCGTGCCTCTGAAGCTTCCTTATTCCTTTCTCTTTTCTCCGCACATTTCGATCTCTTCACCGTTTGGCTTCATCGGTCGCTTCTTCTTTCTTACTTGCACCGACGCGTCAATTCCGTTCTTCTGATCGTGGGAATTTTTCCTTTCGCCCGAGGGAAGAAAAACTGATCAGGAATTCCGGTGGAACTGTTGGAAGCGTGTCTCGGATACCGAGAAGAATCTATCTAGCCAGTCATTCGTCAGATCGTCACTCTCTCTTTTTCGTTTCTCCGTCTCTCTCTCTCTCTCTCTCTCTCTCTCTCTCTCTCTCTCTTTCTGGGATATAAATTTACATATTGACATTAGTAGTACCGTTAAGCTCTGCTTTGATATGATCGTGTTATTAAGGGAACGAGTTCAGAAATATATGATACGTGTAATCTTTCGTTCACGCAGGCTCGATCAAACTGATATGACTCAAAATGAGAACAAGATCGTGGAAAACGATATCTCCATTGATTATACTGGGAATCTTTAAATATTTCAACAAGAGATCGCAATCGTTAATTCATTCGTATGTTAAATAACCTTTAATAGATAATCTTATAAACTAGACGGTACAAAAAATTATATTATTTTTATAGCTGACATTCGTAAATGTATCGAGAAGAAGATAATCGGATGAGATAAATTGCAATAAAATTTATCTTTACATGAACAAATGCACAAGACCTTTAATTTTTCAAAACTGACGATGAAGCTATTGGATACCTACAATCAATTAAATCTCTTTGTAAAAAATATCAAATAATTCAAATAATAATTTTTTGTTACGCCTGCAAATTTGGATTATTCTTATTAAAATGTACTTAATATTCAGTCTTTTTATACAAGTTGTGTTATTTTAGTTCCTTGAAATTAATTAGTGCCTTTCCAGTAACGTAAATTAAATGAATCTTGCGGACCTAATTATGTTATACATTTTGGTATCAGTTTCGGAGAATTAATAAAAATATATTAAATTTTAGGGCATTAAAATCTAACGATTTCATAATAGATAATTTGAATAGATACGTGATACATACATAACAATATTCGCAGTAAACCAATCCCCGAAAATATTTCGACAAGAAAAATTGAAATTTGAAACTGAAATAGAATGATCCGTTCGGATACAAACAATATCCGAACAGCTGACAAGCAAACAGAACCAGGTAAACCCATTGTTAATTCCCAACTAGTACGCGCGAAATACAGTATAATTCAACTTTCAAAGTCCGGTTCAAATTCGGACAGACTAAACTGAAGAGAGATGGTCACATCAGTATGTCACTAGTTCCAGCTGATTGCAACTATTTGTTGGCAAGATATACATTCTGATATCACGCTGGTATATTAAACTATATAGTGTGACTAATTACACGAGTTTATTTCATCAGATGCTAGCGAAATCTTGAGTTAGTAGCGCAAAAGACGATTCGGAACGCCTGTAGAGGAACATTGTAAGTCGTGCTAAAATAATATAAGTACACTTCAAACATAAATATACAGCAAAACTATATATACTGTTAAGAGTATTATTGAAGAGTATTAACCTCGCTTCTTTACACACACACACACACACACACACACACACACACATACACACGCACACATATATACATATATCTAAATCCTTACAGAAAT